TGAGTGGGAAAGGAAGACCAAATCCTCCTGTTTTCCTCCGGGATTTATCTCTTGTGCCTGTGATTTGCATGCTCCTGTGTTCTTGCTTTTCCCTTCTCTTTTCTTGCACCAATTCGCCAATTCTAGAGGGTTTTTGTTCGGTCTTTTTGGGTTGATTCGTGCTATGACATGAGTTGAAGCTACTCCTTAGTGAATTTGATTGAATCGACTCGAGCACGAAGAAATCGATGAATTTCATTTTTGGGGAGTTTTTTCATGTTCTTGACCATGATCTGAGTTTCCCGGGGTTTGGGTTGAATTTGGACGATGATCTCTTAGAGTATGCTCACCGACTCCCTTGTGATGGCTGCAAAGTATGGGAGCGAATCGTTTTGATTTAGTTTGTTTTTTGTCGAATTTTGTGACCGTTCCCTTCTCTGTTCTTGGGTGCGTCGGCACTCTGTTCGTCAGTGGATGTACGCAGACCTACATCCGCTTCGCCGTTCTCTCTCTCCGATCTCTGTTCTAAGCTCGTGATTCCGGTCAGAGCACCGGTCTTGGGACTAGTAGCCATCGGCGCATAGGACCGAGGCAGTGCAGTCCCTGTCCACGTTCCTTGTGGCCCCGTTCTTCACGGAGTCAATCATGCGCCCTCTGTTCGTTTGGTTCCCTCCGTACTGTTCTCTCTCTCTCTTTCTCTGTTCGGCGGCTTTTGAGAAGTAAGTGCATTAGTTCATGCATGATCTGAACCAATAATTTGTGAGTGGTCGCTTTCACTCTACAGGAGCCAATCATTACTCGGTTCTATAATTTATTTTGATCATGTACGAAGTGACTTGTTAGCGCTAGTTTCTTTTGGGTGTTGTTGTTCCTGTTTCGTCTTCTTGTGTGGAATTTTTGGCCCTCGCACCCAGAATTTCTAGCCCTGCTGAGTTCCTTCTCCCGCATCTTGTCCGTTTGAGCTTCGATTTGCGTTGTGCCTTTTACGATGGCTTTCTACGGATCCAAGAAAATTATCTAGATACTCTTGTCATCAGTTGACTTGAGTATTTTAGATTCGGGGACTCGCTTCTTCTCTATAGGAGTTGGGTATCTCATTTTCTGTTCTTCGGTTCGGAAAGCATTTCTTATCGTTTGTGGTGTCCCGTTGTATTCCTAGGGAACATCCACCCACTCATCTGGGTCATGGACATCACTGTGATTGCTTCACGTGTTTGGCGGTCATATTGGGACAGCGACCGAAAGTTTCATGAGAAAATTTACGGCTCCCATTCACCCCCCCTCTGGTCGTCGTTTTCGGTCCTTCAATTGGTATCGGAGCCGGTTAAGGATCATTCCACCTTAATCGGTCCGCGATCCACGAAAGCGACATGGATCGCGGTTCAGGCAAGCCGTCGTACTTCGATGGTACAAACTAGGAACTCACGAACACTCACGAACATGAAGCACCGGCGAGGGAGACGATGAACACAAGTTGTTTCCGGCGACGAACGCCGCGGTCGACACAACGGCCTGTATCTTGGCACTTTTTATTTCTCTGGACTTGGCAACTTAAACAACCGAAGGAGTACATGGGTATAAATAGGCCAGGGACACACCACGGAGCTAGGCCTCCATGCCGGCCTTCGTGCCCATGATCCGCACGACCCGCCTGGCGACGGCGCAAGAGCCACTCTCTCGTTCCGCACATCGAGGCACTCCTCTGTGCTGACCGGCACCACGCACACCACCCCCTCTCAACGTACTTTGACTCTATCTAACTTGATCCTCGCAGCTATCCCACGATGTTCTGGTGGACTCCCACGCGATCCTAACTACCTGCAACGGCAACATGAACACACCATGTTCCGTGCACAACATGAACCGGCAACACATTGCCACACGACACACACGCACCCCTGATTGGACAAACACCCAAGTCACGTTTATTCCTACCCCCCTAAACCTTACAGCACCATGCTCGCTGACTCACAGCAAGCATGGTTCCTCGTCAGCGTCCGCGAGGAGGGACCTCTCCTTCCTCGGCTCCCGACAGTTCTTGGCCTGGTGGCCACGAACGCCGTAGTTGAAGCATCTCCATCGGTTACGGCGCTCCGAGCGCCTGCTGGTTCCCGAGCAAATGCTGCTGCTACCGTCGTCGTCGTGGTGGTTGCCGCCGCCCTTATTGCCGCTGCCGCCGCGTATCTCCACCGCGCCTCGCCTCGCCGCTGTGAGCACGCTCCTTGCCATAGCACCGATGAGCCTCCCACTGCTCCTCAATGAACAGCAGTTGCCCGGCGTTGCCCACCGCGTGTTCCTCAGCGTCGGCATCCTCCGCAACTTGCAGCCGCCCGACGAGCTCCTTGATTGACATGGAGTTGATGTCCGCGAGCATCTCAATCGCCACCGTGACTTGCTTCATCTTCTTCGGGACCACACGTAGGATCTTCTTCACTATGCAGTTGTCCCCCATCACCTCCCCAAGCTCGCGCAAGCTGGCGATGAGCCCGTTGATGCGTATCGCGAAGTCGCCGACGGTCTCCCCGTCGCGGAACACCACGATCTCAAACTCCTTCATGAGGCGCTGCACACTCGTGGACTTCATGGGGTCGTCGCCGGCCCACATCTTCTTCACCGTGTCCCACGCCTCCTTCACCGATTTCTTCACGGCAAGCCTGGCCTTCATCTCCGACAGCACCGCACGCAAGATGGCGGCCAGCGCCCGCCGGTCCTTGGCGCGCTCCTTGGACATGGCCTCCACCGCACCCCACAGCTCCATGGCCTCCAGCGACACCTGCATGACCAAGGCCCACTCGTGGTAGTTGGCCCTGGTTAGCAGCGGTAGCTCCACGGCACTGGAGTTGGTGATGACATGCTCCACGACGGCACCGCCCTTCGAGCCTTCTCCGACCTTGGGCTTTGGGCTATCACCGATCTTCATCTTCCCGGCTCTGATACCAAATGATAGCTACGGCCAGGAACTCACTCGCACTCACGAACACAAAGCACCGGCGAGGGAGACGATGAACACAAGCTGTTTCCGGCGATGAACGCCGCGGCCGACACAACGGCCTGTATCTTGGCACTTTTTATTTCTCTGGACTTGGCAACTTAAACAACCGAAGGAGTACATGTGTATAAATAGGCCAGGGACACACCACGGAGCTACGCCTCCATGCCGACCTTCGCGCCCATGATCCGCACAACCCGCCTGGCGATGGCGCAAGAGCCACTCGCTCGTTCCACACGTCGAGGCGCTCCTCCGTGCTGACCGGCGCCACGCACACCACCCCCTCTCAACGTACTTTGACTCGATCTAACTTGATCCTTGCAGCTATCCCGCGAGGTTCTGGTGGACTCCCACACGATCCTAACTACCTGCAACGGCAACATGAACACACCATGTTCCGTGCACAACATGAATCGGCAACACATTGCCACGCGACACACACGCACCCCTGATTGGACAAACACCCAAGTCAGGTTTATTCTAACACGCCCCTCCTCCCCCCAAGTACTACCTTATCCGGGGTTTCGTTGTCTCCTCCTTATCCTCTCAGACACTATCTCCTCTCTCTCTCTCGCCTCCCCTCCCTCCCCGGGCGAGGTGAGGTGGCGGCGGCGACGGTGGGCGGAGGGCGGGTAGAGGCCAGCAGGGGCGGAGGAGCAAAGGGAGCGGGGGCGGGGCTGGGGCGAGGCGGAGGCGGAGGAGGAGAGTGAGGAAGGCAGCCAGGGAAGAGGCGGGGCGGAGGCGAGGAGGCAGTGGCGGCGGCGCGCCGGAGGCGGTGGTGGGGGCGGAGTTGCAGCGGGCGGGCGGGGAGGAGGAGCGAAGAAGCGGCAAAGCGAGGAGGAGGAGGCGAGCGGAGGGAGGGGGCAGAGGGAGGCAGAGCGGCAGGGCGGAGGGAGGCGGGAGGGGCGGGCAGGCCGGGGATTTTCATATTTTTAATTTTTTTAACACCTACTGGTTGCACAACCGGTACTGGAGGCGATTTTTCTAGTAGACTTTTCGTTTTTAAAGAGTTTATTCCACAAGATAAGCATCACGAACGTTCATACTACAAACGGCTGGCTTTCGCAGAGAAGCTAGTAGTCAAACCAAGCAGGTACCGCCATTCCTTTCCTTGTCTTCGCACGCTGCCAGCTCCCCCGCGGTACAACGACTTGAGTCCGCGACCTTTGTTTGTTGCTAATCATGTGGTAACATATAGCAGCACCTAGCCGGTCTCGTCTCCAACTTAACTCTCTTTTCAGTGAACCTTGCAATGGTCGTATCTTGGACGAGCCTCCCACGAGACCACGACCATGCATCCCAGTGAGTCGCTGCGGTTTGACTGATGTGACAAGCAAGCGACGGCCGAACAAGTGAACAAGGCACATTTGTGCTGCGCCTGGCTTTATCCCGTGATTGACTCGGTAGCAGGTCGCGGTGCAGGTGTGGTGGACCACCTGGGAGGCCGGGACGGTGACGACGGACCTGTATGAGCGGCGGCAGTTCCCCCGAGGCCCGAGAAACGAGAGGCCGAGCGTGCGTGACGCGAATGGATAAGCCGGAATGAGCGCTGGAGGGAGCCTGGAGTCCAGGATGGATTGTTGGGCTTGCTCGTGGGCCGGTCGCTGGCTTGCTACTGCATTGCTTGGCCTGCTTGCCTGCTCATTAGCTGAAAAGCTAGCTTTTCGTCCAGCCCTACTGAGTATAGTATTGCCGGCTAGCTAAGTAGCTCAAGAGTGCGCGAAAGCAAAGAAGCATCGTCAGATGTGCAGGTGCCGAGGTTTACATCTTTCTAGTTTTCTACAATAAAGGCTAAACTGAACTTTTCTTGAAACCGGAACATCAGATGGCAGCGTATCCTTCAGACTTCGCTGTTGTTTCTTGAATCCAAGCCTTCGATGGGAGCACGCAGTTTCCAATCTCTGCAGTAAACAGAGCAGCAAACAATGGTGAGACTGGAGCCCCCGTGGCCCGCGCATGGCGGCATGGGAGAACATGTTTCAGAGGAGGATAAGATGGAGTCACGGCGACAGAAAAAATGCGAAGCTTGGACTCACTTGGTTGGTGGTAGACGACGGACGCGGCGCCGCCGAAGTTGCACGCCGCCTTGGCCCGGTGATTGGCGCTGGTAGTAGCTATTGAACGCGTGCGAGGCGTGTGCAACCACGGTGTTGGGCTCGAAGCACGGCGCGCCGGGCTGGATGTCGCTGCAGTCCGCGCCGTGGCCGCACGCGTAGTCCAGAGCCGCCTGCAGCCGCGCGTCCCTGACGCCGGCGTTCGCCACGCACCAGCTCGGTAGCGCGCCGCCGTGGAAGTCGAACTCGTACACCTTCGTCTGGTTCGGGTAGAACAGGCCGAAGTGCCGCTCGATGTCGTCGGCTCCCCAACCCTTCTGGTTCTCGTTGAACAGGGCGAAGATGTACACGTCCATGTCGACGTCGGGGCGGTACGGCGTGCCCGTGTCGCCGGACAGCACGCGGTTGATGAGGTAGTTGTTGTACGCCTTGGCGTTGGCTATCGTGGCCGCCGCCGCCGGGGCTCCATCCCCATCCGCTTCCAAACGCCTCCCGGGCCTGCGTCTCCCGCGGGAAGCCCAGCCGCTCTCCGAAACATACGCGCGCGCACGGGGTCGCCCGCTTCGCCCCAGAGAAGAGTTTCCTTCGTCCCGCACACCTGCTGATGACCCCAGCTTCTCCATGGCGAAGTACGTGGCGTCGAGCTGGGCGTCCAGGAGGCTGTGGTACACGAGCCCGGTCACGGGGTCGCGCACGCCGGCCATGGAGCTCCCCAGGGCGTAGTCGAGGGAGATCTTGTCGGGCTGCTCGAGGTACGCGAAGAAGGGGTAGGCGTTGATGGTGAGGTAGGATCCCGTCCGCTCCAGGAAGTCGAGCATGGGCTTCATCACCGGCCGCGCGATGTCGCGCCGGAACCTTCCCGCGGACGGCGGCCACGACGCCTCGAGCGCGCGCGGTGAATGCGATCGGCGTGGACACCTTCACGGCCTCGTCCAGGCGCAGCTTCACCAGCGCGGCGTGCACGTTGGCCATGGCCGGGACGAGCTGCCGCGTCAGGTTCCTGGCCTCCTCAAACACCTCGTTCCCCACGGTTACGCCGTGGATCCGCGTGGCGGGGTAGTGCGCCGCCACGTTCCTGAGCACCCACCGGAGCGTGCTCGACGGGTCCGCGGCCGCGGCGGCGATGTCGTCGTTGGGGAGCATCACCATCACCTTGATGCCGGTGTTGGCCAGGGCCCCGAGCACCGTTGGGTTGGCGTCGTACAGCCTCACCATGGTGATGCCGCTCTTCTTCAGCAGCTTTACCACCGACGCCGTGTCCGGGAGGTCGTTCCCCAACCTGCCGTAGCTCACCCCCACCTCGCCGGCATCTGCAATGTACATGATGAATAACAGTTAGCACTGGATTGCACCTGCGACAATAACAAACGGCAGTTTTTGTGAGCCAAACGCATCACCCGCAGGGGAGAAGAAGAGTAGAGGCAATGCGGTGCCGAGGAGGACGACGAAGAGGCGAGTCAGTGCCATGGCCCCCTGCATTGCCGAGGAGCGGACAGAGCAAGACATGGTGAGCAACTATGGTGCGTGGTGGAATTTAAATAGTCGGCAACAAAGTCAAGGTGGAGATGCTGCTTGGTGTTGGTTCGTCGCCGGTGTAATGGAAGGAGGTCAAACCCACAAACATCCGTTTTTCTTCCCCGAGCCCCCAAAAGGAAAATCAAAAGTATTATCTAGGGTGTCGTTCAAAATTTGTGGGAGAAGTTCCTACCCTTTGGAAGATAAGAAATGCATCTTGTATTAAATAGTTGAATCCATATGAATATTGGAGAAGATTAAAAATGTGGTTATTAGACCTCATGAAAACATTCCTTTCTGCATATATCTCTGTTAGTTGATTGGGATAGATTATGGCATCCCACCACAGTATAATATAATACTCCATCTATCCCAAATTATAGGTCATTTTGGATTTTCTAGATTCATAGATATTATTATGCATCTAGACATAAGGTATATATTTAAGTATATAACAAAGTCTATGAATCTAGTAAAGCTAAAACGACCTATGATTTGGGATGGAATGCCACCCCTCTGTCTTGTACGGGCACCTTGCTTGCTCCAGATCATGTATATCATCCACCTCTTGTCTTTTTCTTCATCCCCCTGTTCATCTTTTTACCAACATTGATAGTTGTTCACTTTTATCAATAGTTTCATAAGGCAAGCGCAATGTGTACAGTAAAAATGACCTTATGGACTACTTGGTCAAAATATATGGGTGTCGCCTTTAGAAGAGAGAGAAATTATTTTTTTATTGCTTATTGCTTCACCTTAAGCTTAAGGTGGACTTTAAGGAATCTTTTCTTATGGTGCTATTCCACAATGTTTGTTGCTAACAACAAGACTTCATTTATTGCTTAAGTTTATCTTTTCATGCCCATTGTGGATACCCTAAGCCCGTTGTTTTCTAAAAAATATTTTTTAAAAAACTATATTGATATTGGTAACGACATGACATGTCACCTCCGCCGCCGGACTGCCGGAGTGCTTTCTGTCACAGAGATCACAAATAAATCAGTGATCGCAAGGAATAATTCATAATTGGAATACCATTTCTTATGCAGCTCATTGTGAACCTGGAATTTACGCATGGATTGGCACTGTGACAGCACCAAGTCACCAAACTGTCCGAACGATGACGGCGACGCGCCAATGACCGAACAACAAGCGAATGGACATATAGCCCAGTGGACAGTTCTGCTGCATGCTCCCAGGTCCCAGCTTGGGCTGGGCCTTTGGTGGTAGCCCTGGGCGTTCGGTTCTATCGAACCGAACCGATCGGTTCTTCGGTTTTTGAAGAAGTTCGGTTCTCAGAAAACCAGTACCAATCGGTTCTTCAAAAAATATGGAACCGATCAAGTTTGGTATCGGTTCTTTCGGTTCGGTTCCGGGTAGAACCGAAAAATCAAACAATACCCAAAATCCATGTAACAACATGTTCAATAGCAAATTTTGACAGCATTTCAGCATGATTGCACACAAAACCACAGTGACAAATATAACAGTCAAATAGAGTAACAAATACATAAATAGAGTGCTAACTTCTAAAGCAAGGCGTCAGCATTCAGCAAGAGTGCAAGACAGCTGGGCTAGATCTTATTGCCTAATGGGCCGGTTCCTCGGTTAGTTCGGTTAACCGAGGGGGAAACCGATTTTACCGAACAAATTTCGGTTCCTCGGAAATGAGAACCGAACAGGGAACCGAGACTTCGGTTCTCTATAAATTCGGTTCGGTTCTCGGTTTTTCGGTTCAGTTCTCGGTAAAATTTGCCCAGGGCTATTTGGTGGTGGGAAACTGGGAGCAAGAGTGGCTTGTACAGAGAAAACTTGAAAAAAAAAGTAGAAGAAAACCTGCAGCTAATACAACGATGACCTGACTTCGCAATGGTTCAGCCTCTATGGAGCTTTAAGTTTGTTTTTTGTGTCTAATAATCCTAGAGCAGGCACGAACGAGGTGTTTTGCAATAGCGCATCCAGCTTACTTCAAGCTCTATAGGGATACATTAATTTGGCTCTTACATGTGCGGTTTGTGTGCTAACGTAAACCTTAGAACTTTAGAAAGTTGCTTCATTCACATTTAAATATGCAGTACAATAACATTTTCTGTAATAAAGCATATATATTAGCTATTAATTTTTTTGGTAAGAAGTACGGTACATCTTTTCAAACTTTGTGTACATGTATATCCGTTGGAAATACCAAACTTTAAAGTGTCTGATACAGACAGCTTCGATCGGTTGCAGTACGCCGCATGTGGCTAGTTTTTTAAAGAAGACAAAAAAACAGACTCTCCAAAAAGAAATACAAAGTGGGAGCTAAAGCATTTTTGCCCGCTGACTCTACTCTCTGATGGTCTGGCCAGCAGATCCAGTCAAACGATTTGCAGTTGCCGGGCTTTCGTGTGTCACTGTCACATCTTGTTCCGTACAAGACAACGGTAACACTGGACTGCTTTTCTTAACAGAAGAGGATCAGATGGCAGCATAGCCTTCCGACTTCGCTGTTATTGTTTCTTGGATCCAAGTCTTTGATGGGACCACGCAGTTCCCGTACTCTGCAGCAAACACAGTGGATCGGAAACTGACAACAGTGAGATTACCATCCACTTAAACAAGTGCCATGGATAAGATCATGGTGGACGAGAGTGCAGTATAAACTTACTTGGTGCGTGGTAGACGACGGAAGCGGCGCCGGCGAAGTCGCACGTAACGCTGGCCCGGTGATTGCGCTGGTAGTAGCTGTTGAACGCGTAGGAGAAGTGCGCGACCATGGTGTTGGGCTCGAAGCACGGCGCGCCGGGCTGGATGGCGCCGCAGTCCGCGCCGTGGCTGCACGCGTAGTCCAGCGCCGCCTGCAGCCGCGCGTCCCCGACGGCCGCGTTCGCCACGCACCAGCTCGACGTCGGCGGCGCCGGCGCCGGCGAGACGCCGTGGAAGTCGAACTCGTACACCTTCTGCATGTTCGGGTAGAACAGGCTGAAGTGTTGCTCGATGTCGTCCGGCCCGGTGCCCTTCTGGTTCACGTTGAAGAGGGCAAAGATGTACACGTCCATGTCGGCGTCGGGGCGGTGCGGGGTGCCTGTCCTGCCGGACAGCACGCGATTGATGACGTTGTTGTTGTACGCCTGCGCGTTCTCTTTTGACGCCGCCGGCGGGTTGCCATTCTTGGCCGTCAATACGTGCCCGAGCCGCCCGTGTTTGGGGTGTCCGCCGGACGGCGACCCGGTCTCCCCAGTGAACGCTCTCAAACTAGTGAACCCCAGCCTATCCATGGCGAAATACGTGGCGTCGAGCTGGGCATCCAGGAGGCTGTAGTACATGAGGCCGGTCTTGGGGTCGCGGACGCCGGGGTTGGTTGGGGTTCCCCAAGAAGTAGTCGCGGGAGATCGCGTTGGCCGATTGCGCGGCGTAGGCGAAGTACGGAGGTAGGAGCCCGTCCGCTGCAGGAGGTCGAGCATGGGCCTCATCACCGGCTCCGCGAGGTCGTTCCGGAACCTGCCATCAGAAGGCGGCCACGACACGTCGACCGCGGAGAACGCCACCGGCGTGGACACCTTGATGGCGTCGGCGAGGCCCAGGTCCGCCAGCGCCTTCTGCACGTTGGCCATGGCCGGGACGAGGGCCCAGGTCAGGTCCGGCCTGGAGGCGAACACCTCGTTGCCCACCTGGACGGCGCGGATCCGCGTGGAGGGGAGGTACGCCGCGACTTTGTTCCGCGCCCAGTCGAGCGCGTAGCGCTGGTCGCGCGCGGCGTCGGCGAGGTTCTCGTTGGGCAGCATCACCGACATCTTGATGCCGGTGTTGGCGAACGACCTGAGCACCTCGGGGTTGGCGTCGTATATCCAATATCCTGACCACGGTGATGCCGTTCTGCTTGAGAAGATTCACGACCGCCGCCGGGTCGGGAAGATTGTTCGCCACCCTCCCGTAGTTCACGCCCACCTGCCCCCGCCTCTGCAATGTATACACAACAAAGAAGCAACAATTAGCATTGCACTCTCGACTTCAACGTAACTCTGCATCATTTCCAGAACAGCTAGCAGTCTATGTGATTAGTTACCTGCTGGAGAGAAGAGGAGAAGAGGCAATGTGGCGCCAAGGAGGAGGAGGACGACGAAGCGGGCGAGCGCCATGCTCGATCACCTGCAGTAATGGCGAGGGGCGGAGCAGAGCAAGACATGGTGATGAGTGGCAGATCAGCCTAAGGGTGGGCGACAACTTGTAGCCGGCAACAACAATGTCAACGTAGCGATGGGTCCCACGCCGGCTTTGTTCGGCTGAGCAAGCCGGCTTGTTCGGCTTCTTTTTTCAGCGGGAGCAATGTTTTTCTCTCACAACATTCCAACACGAACAGTAGCATGAACAGTAAAAATACATACCAGCCGAACACATTCATGCACACGCACAATGTCAACGTGCGCATGTGGCAGATAGCCTTGCCGAGTCCACTGCCATGTTGGGCGGCGCTGTTGCAAACCAGCACCTTGCCGGCTCCGCAGTCCTGAGCAAACCAGTGACAATTTGATTTGCGACCTTGTTTTTCTCAATTATCAGCACATGTATTGGAAGCCAACTGGCCAGTGACAATGCTTGCAATACTTTCAGTCCTGATGTATCATTGGATTCTTCTCCTTTTGCCGTTTATTTGGTGAAGGCTTGGAAACAGTCTACTTCTAAGAAGAGAAATTAATAACATATATCTACACACTAGAGAGCGACGTGCCAATAAGAAAAATATACTATTAAGGTTCAGTACACATGCCAAGTACAATAATTTGTTCAACTCCGCGGGAAGGATATTGAATAACTCTAAATAATGTTGGTACACCGTACACGATAGGTGGATCACATGAGTTCACTCTTTCAAAGCTGTATCACAATCAGAGTACCAAGACCCCGGGAAGGGATTCAAGACAACCTGACACAAAAAGGCTAGGAGCCCAACAGCAAGAAGCATACTGGAGCCAGCCCAGAAGACACCGCGACCCACCTCCCGACCTCACTTGGTCAGGGGATGAGGGCTATAATCCCCCGATCCGGCCAGACCGGGGGCGGGGCCTGCAAGCGCCTCACCCACTCCTTGAGCAGGGGTGACCGATGCCATACCGGGGGCATTAAATGTGGGAAGTGGCCCCCCTGATCGCCCCACGCGAGGACCTAACCAGGCGGGAGGAGCCGATGATGAGGCTACCCCCTTCGGACCGCTCAAGACGGCTTGCAGGACGAGGCCACGCGCGGTTGTACGTGTCCACGCACCCTGACGTCATCATCACCCTCACCGCTAGGGCGACCCATCAAGATCAAGGTCATGCCACCACGCCAGGCCAGGTACGAGCCCGCAGGCGAGGCGGCACCCAGCGTCAGACGTAACGGCGTGGAGTGGTCGTGAGCGCGCTAAGGAGGTCGGGTAAAGCCGAAAGAAGCGACACACCGACCAGGGCTCACCCACTCATCTCCAGTACGGACATCAGCGGCAGCTTCCATCCCGTTCACTGCCATGGGGTTGGCGGATGGGACGGGGCACGCCGCGGAGCAGGCCAGGCCATGCGTAAGCGGCCCACACCGCACAGGAGTAACCATACAGGGCATGCGAACCCCACGACCGCCCAAGAGACAGGGAAGTCCCTTGGCACAAGACCGCCCCTGACCACGCCACGACCCCCTCCTTTTCTCAGCATTGTTGCCCGGTCCTTGGCCTATATGAGGGGAACCGGTCCTTCCTTCTCTCTCTAGCTTTTTATTCACATACACCCACGTTCACACGCATAGCACAAACATTTGCTTGCAAGCACCCCCACTGTAAACCCAGCGCACTTGATCCAAGGAACACGACTCCTGTCGAAACTGGGTGTAGGGACCTTCCCGAACCAGTATAACCCCTTGTCTCTTGTGTGCAAGCCATTAGAAGTGAGGAGAGCATGGCGGCGGCGGCGGCAGGGCCAGGATGTTCTGGGCCACGGCATTACCTCGGGGAGCATCCTCGGGGACTTCGCGCGCAACCACCCGACCTACCACCGGTTGGGAGGCCGCGGTGGCGTCCCTAGGCTCCTGAGGAGGTAGGGCCGCCACTGTTGCCTCCGACCTTGGCAGGGGGGCCACGGCCGCTGCATCCTCCGACGCCAGGGGTGGCGGTGCTATCGCCGCGCCTGCCGGCACAATTTCCATCGCCGAACGCGGTGCGTCGGCGCTAGGTCGCTGGGCCGGTACAGAGCTCCCACCGGCATCGGGAGCCTCATTCACGACTGGTTGGCGGTCGCCACCCTCCGAGCTCGATCTGCCATCCGAAGAGGGGTGGGACACTAACCTCCATGCCGTGCGGGGTGGAGCGCCAGGCGGCGCTGGCGGCAGCTGCTTGGGGGCTCCCGAATCGCGACCCTGGCCGGCGGGTGACCGCGATCTCCCAGAGTAACGGCCGTCCGAGCACGAGGAAGGCCGATCAACTCCTCGATTGGTATGGGACCAGACGTGCCTCATGCTCGTTTCAGCGCCCGAGTCGTCGGCAGCCCATTTCTGGGATGCCCGATCCCACGCTTGGGCCGCGCTCCCGCCTCCCTCCGATCCGATCCCGACCTCCCCGTTGTCAAAGGTCGGGGGAAGGGGGTTGGGAAGGGCGACCAGGGGATCACGAGAGAGCTTATGGTTAAATGGGAAGTCGAGGACGGGCATACCCTCACTCCCCCTCTCGTTCTCATCCTCTCCGTCCTCTTCATCTTCCTCATCCTCATCGGATGGCAACCCCGCGTCACGGTGCGCACGGCGGCGCCTCGCGCTCTCGCGGATCTTCTTCTCCCATGCGCGAATCTCCCTATCGCGCTTGCACCACCGCTCTTGGGCAGCGCGCAGCTCGACGACGGGTCGTTCGGCACCCCCATGTTTGTCGTCCCGGTCACGAAACCTGGGCACCGGCCGCCTGAGCCCCTGCGCTGTTGCGCACCAACGGCAGCTCGGGCCTTCGTGCGCTCATAGAAAATGCAAAGGACAGAAAGGTCTGAATCGAAGACTCACCAGCCAAAGAGGGAATCCCTCGTGAAGGCTCGTGGGTGCCCCGCCCGGGCTGCGTGCACCGGCACCCGGATGTCGATCAACACCCTCACCCGCGCCGAGATCTCGTGGCCGGGGAGGATCCCCAAGCGCTCCCGTGAGTTGTCTGTCGCCCCCAGGGGCGGGCCCAGATGTATTCAAGTGTATGCAACTGAATACCTATTATTTTTGCAATTTTTTTGTATATATAGTGCATCCTATGTATATGCATCAAAAAATAAAAAGAAATTCAATCCAATTGGCCTAGTCGGCCAACTCCCTGTACCCCGCGCTGGGCTGCTGGCCCAACAGCCCAATTGGCCCATTCGGCCGACTCCCCCCTCAGGCCTCATCTCTTGTTCAGTCCGTTCCTCATCTGGTCAGTCCTCCTCTTCCTTTGTTCCTACTCTGCAACCCTAACAGGCAACGGTGCCAGGGCGGCAGGCGGCAGCAGTAGCCGACGGGGAGGTTGGTTAGCGAGCCCCAGCGGTGGTCGGCGAGGGCGGAAGCAGAGGCGCGGCGCCGCGGCGGCGCCCTTGCCGTAGGAGCACCGCGCACGGCGGCCCGTGCGCGCAGTGCCATAGCAGCCGACAGACGGCCGATGCCAGGCGGGGCGGGGCGGCGGCGGTGCACGGGAGCAGCCAAGTAGGGACAGGACAGAGATCACTCTGTAAAATTGGTGAGCATTTTTATTGTCTGTAAAATTGGTAATTGGGATTGCATAGCAATTGGTTAAATTGGTCGATTTGTTATTGCAATTTGTCGATGCTTGTGAATTCATGACAATGGGATTTTAATTTTAGGTCTGAAACATGAAGAGGAAGAATAGTGCCACTACTGATTTGAGAGCTTTCTTAGCAAGAGCTACTGCAAAGAAGAGACAAGCTGAACCAAAGAGTGTTCCTCAGTCTTGCAATGAAAGCCAGATGCAGGTGGTGGTATTCCAAGGGCAGAGTGGTAGTGGACAGACCTTTGATAGTGGAACAAGCACAGTACCACCTGAACCAGTGAGAGCTACGCAATGGTAGCCAGCAGAGCCCCCAATAACAGAAGTTGATGAATCAAAATCCAGTGATGAAGACAATGATGACTATGACCTTGAGGTGCCATTAATTATCACCGGTTTCATGCTGATATGTTTTTGGGTGTCATTGATAGGCAAGTTCAAGAGCTTAATAATAAGTTTGATGAGGTAAACACAAAACTACTTAGATGCATGGCATCATTCAGTCCAGCCAATTCATTTTCTGCTTTTAATGTTGAGAACTTGGTTAAGCTTGCTGGGTTCAATCCACGACTTTGAATTTGAAGAAATGAACCAACTTCATTTTCAGGGGTCATCTTTTGCTGACCCCTTTCCTAATTAGTAGATGATTGGGTGGACCATTAGAGGGTGTAATCACTTAACTTTGAGTACTAGTGCCTACTTATGCCTACTGGAAACCCAACTAGCCACATTGCATTGTAGATTAGTCTGTCCAACTCCAGTACTCCACCATGTTTAGTAAAAAATAAAAAACACAAGCACGCTTGAAATGTAATGGGAAAAGGCAAGTGGCCAATCTTTTTCCTACATGATTCATACAAGAGTTGGGGATCCTTGTGGTATACAAGGTTTTTATTTTATTTTTATTCTTTTGTGTGGAACAAGTCTGCGGTTGTTGAGGCTTCCTTGTAGGTTTTTTAAAAAAAGATACAAATTTTATCCCTTGGATGCCAAGATGTGTGTTTCTTTAGAACTGATCAACTAAGAACCACTTAGCATACTGTAAGGCTGGAGCAGTAAACGATAGCGACGGGACTGCTGAGGTGTTGAGATCATCAAAGAAACCGGTGTACGCGGTCACGTGTCCTGTACCGAAATCTGTTGACGGATTGCAGTTCATAAATAATTGGAGATAATTTTTTGTTGTCTTTTGTGGAGAACAAGACTGCGGTTGTTGAGGCTTCCTTTTCGTGTTCTTGAGACGCACGTCCCTGTTCTAGAATCTGATTTGAAGGATACATCTAGCGCTAAAATCAAAGCAAAAAACTGCGAACTTATTAGTGAATTTGTGTCTGGCATCTCACCTGGCGGGGTTGCCGTCGGCGTCACGTTAACTGGCGTAGGAGATGGCGCCGGCGCCGGCGTGGACGGCGCGGGCAGCCGCAGCGACGGTCCCCCGGAGAAGAAAGAATACACCTCGTACCTGAAATTGCACCGCAATCCGATGACCCTCCCGCCCCGGCTCCCTCTGAACTGCGGCACCATCGCGATTATGCTCCCAAGGCAGCTCCGGCAGTCGGCGGGCGAAATGTCCGGCGTGCACTGCGTGAGCCCGTAGATGGTGGGGTTGCTGGTGTCGAAGCCCTCCTACCCCGTAGCGAACCTCCTGGACGAGTTCGCCGCCGCGTAGTCGTCGGTGGCGTTGAGAAGCACGCCGACTGCGGCCTCGAAAGCTCGCACCGGCGAGCTTACGTTCTGGGTGTTTCTGAGCATGATGGGGTTGCCGTTGCTGGTGGAGGTGAGGAAGTTCTGGTTGGAGAAGAGCCGGTAGCAGAGGTCGTACAGCACCGTCGCGTCCTTGTAGTAAGGGTACAGCTGCTGCGCGTCCTTGAACGCCGTGGTCAGTGGTCACGCAGTCCCCGCAGGAGGAGGCAGAGGGCCAGAGCGTAGACGATGTCCGGGACGGCGCCGACGCTGCCCGTGGCGAAGAGGTTCCCCGACCGGGACGCGTTCGCGGGGATCGCCGCGGCGAGCTGTGCGAGGTTGGACTGGTAGGTGCTGTTGGCCGTGTAGTTGTCGCCGGTGCTCCCGCAGAGGGGCCACGGCTGCGCGCGGCCATCGGCGCGAGGGCGAGCAGAAGGCCCGTGACGAGGAGTGGGAGGACGCCGCGGCGGCGCGCGGCCGTGTCCATGTTGCCACGGCGGCTCTTGACTGGTGAGCGGCGAGCCGGCGAACGAGAGAGAGGTACGTGTATGTGCGCTGCAGGGGCATTGAGCACGGAAATGTCCCCGGGCAGGCAGGTGCCCTGACCAGATAAGGGCCCTGCAGGTTTGACTGGCGATGCAGCGAAGACTAAGCGATGCGCCTGCATGGGCACCCGTCAAGCACTTTGCTGCTGCTGATGATTTGGAGTGCCGTTTGAAAAGGGCTTATCAAAAACGGTTTTACGGGTGAAGTAGTAATAAACTAAAAACCAATGAAATAAAAAAAATGATTTTAATAGTTTTGTAACATATTTTTTCTCAGTTTTGCGGAACAGCTTCATGATACGAAGTCTCAATTTATGTAAAGTAGATGAAGCTGAAGCCATTAGATGATTTGCCAAGCTCCCCATTTACCTTGGGCTTCATTCTACCTGATCATATAGCCTCAGGCTCCACGCTCTGCCTATGTCCATTCCACTCCTCACGCCTTCTGGTTAAATTTGGTCGTAATTTTCCTATTTGTGGTTGCAGCAGATATAGTACTCCCTCTGTTCTAAATTATAGATCGTTTTAGCTTTTCTTTTTTAATTCATAGACTTTGTTATGCACTTAGATATACCTTATGTCTAGATGTATAATAATATGTATTTATCTTGAAAAGCCAAAACTACCTATAATTTGGGACGGACCGGGGGAGTAGAAGAGAAGACTTTGTGAAATCTAATTGTAGCTTTCTTCGTTGACATGCAGGGAAGGATATATCTAAGGAAAAAAAATACACAAGGAATACGAGGGAGATCAGCTGGCACTCATCTCAAGGCGCGAGGTGGGATCCGGATAAGCCAATGTGCATCTGTAAAGATTAGGGGGATCATGTTTACGTGTAGGTGATACGCATGTGCTGCCTGCTGTGTTGCGCGTCCTGGAACGCGGCCGCAACGCCGAACAGCAGTTTTAGCAATTGAATCAGCTGAAATGTTATACAACACACATATATTTTAAAAGAAAAAAACACACGAATTTTCTCTCTGTCTCCCTCCGTTCTGCTGCTCCGATCCCGCCTGCTCCGCAACGCACGCACAGCTGGAGGCTTGTCCGCACTGTGCCGCTGGCTGGACCAAGCACGCACGCGTCTGCTGGCTGGACCTGCTGGCTGGACGAAGCACGCAGGTCTCTCCTCTTCCTCCTCTGCCATCTGTGATTTGTCTTTCCATAGAAAAAAAATTATTTCCTGTAATATGTGAATCTATGATCCTATGATTTGTGATTGTCTAGAGGTAGAAGAAGGCTGGAGGCTGGAGATAGAAGGAGAGTAGAGGCTATTGAATCTTAATTCTATGGTGCAAAAAAATTCATGTATTGAAACTGCATAAAACACATGGTTGTTGGGTAGACAGACTCGTCCTAATAGACTAGGCTATTAGCAGGATTTGCAGGCGAGACAGATGAGGAGGCATAGAAGGAGGAATTCCATTATGTGCTAAAGGTTACGGAATAAGAGCTCTTAGTTCTTTCGGCGTAGAGAACGAATCCTCTATTGCAAGAAGAAGGGCAATGCCGATTGTAAGGTTAAGTATTACGTACGTAAAAACCAGTCAGTGACTCATTTAAGTGTTGTGCGAAAAGGTAGCCTTTTGGCAACTGCAACCATCCATAGCGAGCGACGGAAGATCAATAGGCTTCATAAGTTGATAAAAGGAGAGAGCAGCTTAAGGAGAGAAGTAATGAAGATGTTAACTTATAGTACAAGCAAGAGAACTCTTAAAAGAAAAATCTACTGCTCTATCATTGACAGATATCTTTTAGTCTATAGCCCTACCTAGGGGGAACTCACACTCGCTAGAAGGCAAAAGCACTTGAAACAGTAGTGAGGTAAGAAATCAAACTACTCGCTTATTCTCAGTATGCCTGCTCTTCGAATTCAAAACTCCTCAGCTATACCCCTTTCTACATATGTATATATGAAAAAGACAGCAGCTATACAAAGCTTTATCTCGCCACTTGAGAACTCGTTTGCTTCTGGCTGTCTTACTGGATTTCATCTATCCTTAGCTTACTGGCCTAAGATGTATATGCTTCGTGGTTACGTTTTATTATCTTAGAAGGAGTTGCAACCTACAAGGCCTATAACGCCGTATCAGATCTTTCCATTGCCCTATGGTCACTTGCTTAAAAACTGAAAAGAGACAGACTAAAAAAGAGACTGAACTTCACTTAGGCTTTCTCGCAAGCTTATTAGAGCATTGAATTGACCTCTACTAAGAGTAAGATGGCTTGGATTCTACTAAATCCAAAGAATGTTGGCTAGGGTGACACTCGTGCTTCTTTCGAGTAAGGCAAACTGAGTAAGGGGTCGTGTTATTAAGTCAATTTCTTAGCTATAAGCCTGGCCTTTCACTTTTATTAGTACCCCTTTTTCCAACCTTTTCCATTCCATATCTCACCAGTCTTCTTTCCCTGGGTTGTTCTTGAAACGCGTATTAAGTACTTCCCTCCACAAGTCGATCACACTAGATCAAAAAAGTAGGAAAGACCGGGCAGGCTATCAGAACTTCAAACTCATAAACGTAAACTTTTCTCTTTAATAGCTTCAGTACTCATTCATGCCTATTGGCAATAATATGTTTCATCATAAGAATACCGTGAAACCTAGACATATTAAGAAAGTCCATAACTTTGATCTTCTCCACTCTCATAGTTGCTACCACAGAATCAAGAAAGGAATCATTCATCACCATAGTACTCCTACCTTCAGTACTCCTACCTGCTCAAAAGGAATCCTCACTATACCAACAACAACTTAGAAAGTTCTGAAATAGGAGTGCCATATAAGCAAACACTTTCATTATTTCAAGCGCATATGTCACATGTCAAGATTAAGCATTACTAACTCTTTCCATATCTGCTACCTTCAAGCGCTTTGGTCTAAGGGCTGCTTTCTCTGCCACTTTTCTCTTTATGGTATAGCCGGCCAATAAACATAGAAAGAATTGACTAATACATAAAGGTTCTGTCTACTGATTGAGATACCCGTCTCATTGGCAACACTGATCCTAGTACATTCGTAATGTTAAGGCTATAAGCATTCCACTACTACTCGAGTAACTAAACATACGCTAAACTAATGGATACATAGACTCTCCAAACTCTCATGAATAGCTCATCCCCTGCTTGGTAAGTAAGGCAAATAGCCTCGCGCGTAGAGTATAGTAAAATGTCTAACCGGCTGTAGATGATTTGACTGATACAACTATAGTGATTTTGCCTATACCATTAAAATATATAGTTTTTGTATAAAAGTAACCAGATTTCAGAATAGACAAAGGAGACTGAACCAACATAAAAAAGACTTCTCGAAGGGCAGCATTCTTGCCAAACCCTGACCTCTATTTCGATCCGATAGCAACACACGAACATTTGATGAGAGCTTCAGGTTGAATAAGGCTGTTGCACATAATAAGATTAAGTAAGACCTTGTACCTTTACTAGTACTTGGTTTTACAAGGCCATGACCAAGCAAACCATAGTGAGAAAGTTTACAAACTCTATTGTATTTATTCAGCTTGTTCGCTTGTTGGTTTCAGCCAGCCCAAATCAGCCAGCCAACGGTGTTTTTCTCTCACAATAAACCAGCATCAACCAGCCCAAACCAGTCCAGAAACCAACCAGCGAACATGCCGATTGAATGGACTGGAAGGTCCCTTGTAATGACGAAAGCATGACAAATGTAGCTATCCTTCCTTACTGTCCTGGTGCGTGGTGAATTCATTGGCTAATTAATGAGGACACTGACTCACAAAGGCTATAGCTAGTCTCTACGAATATCTCGATGCAAGCATTACCAATAGTTGGAGTTCGTGCTTGAATGTATTAGTGGGAGAGTGGAAGGGAGGTTAGTAGCTTGAAGAAAGGAAAGAGTCTTATCGTCTGTCTCAAAGAGTTGATGAATCACGCTGATAGGTAATGAGAAGTTTGACGTCATATACTTGTATTCTCAATTTCTAGAATGGATAGGCATAGACTGATTGTTCATTTTGAGGGTTAGTATAGTTGCTTGCATATGTAACCAGAAAGCTTTGATGAAGCCTCAGGGGGCAAGCAGGTTTCAATCATTTGTTTTTAGCATCTCCACTAGAAAGAGTAGAGAGAAAGAAGCCTCTCGCATCTGGAAAGAGGACACCCACTACAACTTTGTATCTTAGGAGCTTGCTTCTTGTGAAGAACTAAGGCAGCTCAAATGAATGCTCGCCTACTCATGTAGCTGTCTCTTCTTATTTTATTGCTTAATATGAATTGTAAATGCTGAAAAATTCTCTCTCTATAAAGTAAAAAAAAGAAGGGTTGTCAATTCCTCGTTAAAAAAAATGAACAGTCTCACTATTCAATGAACTAGGGTGGGTCAGGGAACTCGTAGCTTATGCACGCGCACGAGGCATGAAAAAGGAGGAAAGTCATTATACAGGAAAGGAGCACACGCCATAGAGGAATTATCATGTTATGCCTGGTAAAGAAGCACACTGACTTCAGAAGAAAGAAAAGAAGTCATACCAGGAGTGTGTGTTTTCTCATAGGAGAATCCATCCTCTAGTAAAGTTAGGAGTCAGCACATAAATGTCAGTACGTCACTCACCACGCGTCGCCGCGGCAGAGCGCGAGGGCGTAGACCATGTCCGGCGTGGCGCCGACCCTGCAGCCTTTGGCGAAGAGGGAACGCCGAGGAGGAAGCGTTCCGGGCGGGTATCGGTGGAGACGAGCGCGAGGTTGGACTGGTACCTCCCGTTCTCCGTGTAGTTGCCGGTGTCCCCGCAGACTGGTCATGGCAGATGAGGTGAAGGTGTGAACAGTCGACGAGGCACCTGCAGGCTGCAGGCTGTGCACCTCAACCTTGACTCTGTTGAACGGATGGAATAGCAACATTGACTGATTAGAGAGGGACGGCCTGACTTTCATTGCCTCCAGTAGGAAGGGTGATTTGATTAGACCTTTG